AGCCATATTGCACTTGTGAGCAGCAGATTTCTGAAATAGAAACACCTGCCATACAGAGAGACATAATGAACATCAGTCTTTGAGAAATATATTTAGATCTTGACACAAGCTGATTGATAATTGATAAAACATAAATATGGATACCCACATACTACAAAGTTTGATTTACTATCCGCAAATTGTCCACTACACATACGAGAAGTTCAGGTTCTTGGAGGATCTAGACTGATTTTAGGAGATATATGGGTCAAGGGTAGGTCATGGCAAACAGTTATAAATCTCGAATATCTAGGAGGTTGATTAGTCTAATTCAGCAGAAAACTTAGGTCTATTACAGAAAGTTGCGAATAAAATGTCATGGCATGAATAAAAGTCTGGAACGTGAATAAAAAAGGCTTTCCAGACGCAGGAAAACTCAGTTCTCCTTTCCAACTAAACTCCAAAGAAATAATTGCTTTTTCCTCCTAAATCTCTGCAGCTAGTGAACTGCGCATACAATATTTACCTTCAGCTCAAGATATAGGCACACATGCACATGCCTTCTCATACATTCAACAAATATGAAACTAAATAAGCCATCGGGTGTACTTCATTTCCTCCAATAGACAGATGTGAACATACACTTTTTTAGTAACATTTTAGCGCTGGAACATGGAGAATACAGTTCAGTCTTAAAAGTAACAGCTTCCTGTGAAACATTGGGAAAGTAGGTAGTGCCATTTGTAGGAGATAAATCACCAACAATCCCTGAATTCTATAATAATGAAAGTTAATGCAAAAATATCATGGAATATAGGTCTTCAATTTATTTGGCTACTATGTTACATTAAAATCAGGAAGATGTGTGCAAAGCTACTAACCAAATAAGTAATTATAAATTTGTCCATGAAAGACCTTATAATAATGTTGACAATCAAGATGTAAATGAAATTGATAAGAAAATCACACTTTTGATAACAAATATTCCTAACCTTCTCTGGAGGAAGATCTATTCCTAAATTCCCTCGAGAAAGAATGATACCATCCGCTTCCTTGAGGATCTCATCAAAATGCTTCAAACCCTGAAAAAGAATGAGGAAAACAGACCATTTACTCAAAGGAATACAAGAGAACAGCTGCAATAGATACCCATGATTGTAAAATTTATTAGGTGAAATAAACATGAACTTGATGTCAGTACTTTGTTAAAAAAATATGTGTACTTACCTCCTCATTTTCAACTTTAGCATAAATCTGAGTCTCGTGAAGCTTATGAGCTTCAAGAAACTTCCTCAGCTGTATTAATATGCAA